ATTTTTAGCTAATTATTTAATATATATTGATTTTTACTAAATAAAAATTTTATTCAAGATTCTTATCGTTTATAACTTTCATAAATTTAATTATATTTGATGTAAAAATTACATTAAATTTGAGATTAAATTTTCATTATAAAAAAAATGAAGAGCTTATGATAACGAAAAAAATATTGCAGAGATACTTATTCTTTAAAATTCTTAGAGCATTCATAAAGTAATTTATTTATAATATTTATATGATATTAGAATTTTAATAAAAAAAATTGTTTTAATGACACATTATAATGAACATTATGATATCATATAAATATCACTGATATCTTTAATTTAATGAACAATGTTAATAAAATTTACACATCAACAATAGATAGTGAAATTACGAAATGACATGCAATTTCAAATATTTGTTAATTATATATGCCGCGTTAATTATCGAATAATTGTTACAACACATAGATAATACGACATAATAGGAATATCGCATAATATTTACAATGATATGTGATAAGTGACAATACGCAGATAATGTATGCAGATTTTGTATGAGTCTTCTTCACCATTTCTTACATGAAAATTTCTCTATCCAGCACATGCGTATGAATAGAAAAAAAGACAATAAACCTGCGAATGGGATTATATAAGGTAAACAAATAAAAAATCAATTTACAAATAAATATAAAACATATATTTAAATTAAATGCCACAAAATATCTTGCTTTGCGATAAACTTGACGTCAGAGTGTCCCTTTTTTAGTTTTTTCCACGTGAAATTACAGTGCCAAAGAGAAATAAATCAACTATCAATTTTTTATAACGGTAACGTGCACCCGTTTTAACAATACGCTAAAGAAATTATATATAATACGTCGGAAGAAGATATGTCGGAAATTAAGTGAACGTTATACGCGCTATATTTGAAGAATCTATAAAAAAAAAAAAAAATTCGCTAAAAGTCACGGCAATCTAATTCGCCGAATAAGTCCTTCCGATCTCATCGATATATATTCAGTCTTCATCAATTTATCATTCTACCGTGTATCAATTCACCGCACCACAGTTTCACGCGGATTCGTTAGAATTAATTAAAATACTAGTCGTTTCGTGCCGCGTGCGCGCTGACGAAGCAAGGGGGAGTCGAGTCGAAGAAAAATACAATTGTCGCCTCTCTCATTTCTCTCTCCTCTTTGTTCATTTCTCTTTTTTTCAGGATTAAATAAAATTTTCTTATCCAAATGCGTTTTGTCTCCATAAAAAATAAGCAAATTAAAAGAAATTCATAGGAATCCATTTTGATTGAATTCAGGATTAAATTACAATTTTATTTTCTTCCATTCGTTTCTGATAGTAACACATCAAAATTAAGACATAAATAGATGTAAAAAATATTTTAATGATAACATATGTATATTTATGTCTTAACTTTCTTTTAGCCGTTTAAATAAATATATGAAAGAAAGATTTGATGATTTTAATTAATACAGAATAATACTTAATTGGAATTTTGGAAAATAAATTTCTATGAATCTCTTTCAATCTCTTCCTTTTTTATATAGTTCAGGAAGATGCAGCACCGGTCATTTTCTATATTTTACTGGTTGTAAGAGTATAAGAAATACGCTTTCTTAATGAACGAACATGTTACTTATAATAGTTAACAAAATTATTATTGCTGCTAAATCGATCATGGATCGTATTATTGCTCTACGAGAGCTTGGACAATAACGTGAAAAATCCGTGACTCCTCCAATCGTTGAGCCACTATTAGCCAAAGAGTAAATTCTTTAATGTTTGTTATTATGTCGGAAACATTTCTTGAGACCGCTCATAATCCATTGATACGATCGTGAGGCGCCGAGCAATGAACACACTAACTGTGGTACATACAAGTGGCTTTCAGGAAAACAGGAAATCGCCGTCGTTTCGCGTATGGACGTAGCATTTCGCGACATTTCGTTGATTCGATTATTTCGCTGGGCTAATTTGTAGCTGCCTGTTTCTCATCTGACGTTAATATCGAGCGACTAAAGTTCGGAATTAAAGAATCGCATTCAATGTTGAACGTCGCCGCGCAATTTTCCTTTATTTCCACGATTCTTATGTCAAGTGGATGACGCTAAGGATCAGGAGGATCACAACTAATATTAAATGCGGCACTATACGCACGAAATTACGTAGATGAGACGCCTGTGAAGCAATTAGAGTTTCATTTGTGAGTTCCAGTGAATGCCTCCTCCCCCCCTCCCTCTGCAATATTTGCACAGATGCATATACATCATATGTAATATACGTCCTTATGCAGCTATGCGGCTAATTGATATTCGTAGGTATACGCGAGTAATTATCTGCTTACACGATTTATGTACAAGTTATCACGATTTCAGGTAGCCGAGAGGATCAGTAACGACGATGTGAAGCATCGTTTTATACTGCGCGGTAACGATATTCAGCGCTTGTTTACATTCAATATAATATAACGCACGTACACACAAACACACACATGCATACATTCCATATTCCTCTGCCCCTTGACGTTTTTCAAATAATTATCGCAAATTAGCCTAATTTTTATCTTAATCATTTCTCAATTTTTTTTTTTACTACCAATAAAGAAATTTGTTTATTCATGCGAACAACAACTAAGCGAAACAATGCAGATTGTCTCCGTAGAATTAGTAATTTTTTTTTTCTCACAAGGCGAAATCGATGGGAGACTGCATAAAAAGCGTCTCTTACGCACAAGATGCACTGTCTGTCTACCACTAGGAAAAGAATAGAACGCGCTACGTCCTTGCCGCCGAACACATATAGAGACACATCTACAATTATCTTACTAATCATTAATAGTTAAATATCACAATCTATGATAAGAAATCCGCGTATATGCGTCTTGCCGCATCGCTAGCTATCCGCGCGTTCTTCACCGTCGGAAAATTGCAGTTCACAGAGATGCAAATCAACGAGTACGTACAAAAATAAATAATCGTCTTGGGTGAATACAGCGGGATCGTGTAGCTCACTAATCTGTCTTGGGTCCGCGTGCAAATCTACGTGGTACGCCTACGATTTATTCGGAGCGATCGATCAATCGTCCTAAAAACGAAAACGAAACGCGCTAAAATTAAAATAGGCCTGAATCTGTAGAAAAGAAATTTATCGATCGATTTTTGAAAATTTCTCATCTATATACAATAATATATATTAATTTAATTCTCATTTATGTCATACATCTGACACAATTCAATAATTATATAGCAATTAAACAGTAACAGACTTACACTGCAATATTTAACTATATACAAATATAACAAATTTTATTCGTTTTGTAGCCTAGAAATAAGGAAGGATAAAGACCTGGCATTTTATCAGCGCTTTAATCAGTGGGATAATCGATCGTGCCAATAGTCGTTCGCGTAGATTTATGCGGACTTTTACTGATGAGCGGAAATTAATACAAATTTACTAGTGAAAAGGCAAATAGATGAAATAAATTTATGATAGCTTCATCAAAACATTCCATTTAAAGATAAATTATCAATTCTGATATTTATCGTGTGTGTGTGTATATATATATATATATATATA